TCCAAACAGAAGTCTGAATCACTGTCAGCCTTCTTTGTGACAGCGATGTGACCCACGGCCTGCAGTACCGCACTAAACTGTGATTTACAAGAGCAGAAATCGCAGCTACACTGGAAATGAATTGTTCACATTATGTAAAAAAACTGTTAGTGTGTTTTTAAGTTCTTATGCAGTCGTTCTTACTTCTGAGATCAAACCTGCACACGCAGCATTGAAATAAAATGAGTTTGACACTTGAGCTGTACACGATAACGCCGAGGGTTTCAGAGCTAACACGCCGCAGGGATTTGAAAGCTCAAACAAAATGTTTTATTATTTGATTCTGTTGTTAAGACAATTTGGTGATGTGTTATGAAAATCCCGGTCTTCCTTCTGGGATATTAATGATATGGGAATTAAGAGGAAACCGTCCAGCAGACATCATCAGTGAGGCAGACGGTACTGCTGGGTGTGCAGTTAGAGCGAGAAGCTCCTCCTCTTCCTGGTGCCTTTCACACACGTGACCGAGTCAAACAGGCATCAAACTACATCACATAATCAGGATTGAACCGAGGTTAAGGAAGTTTATTTAAAGCCTGACAATAGTGAGACAATACTGGCCAATGGATCACATACAGGATGCTGGGCTGGGATGGCCCAGAGGATTGTGGGACGCAGTTCATGTCACGCAGATATTACAGATGTCAGAAAACGGGAGTTATCATGTGGCAGCAGCGCTCAGAAGCTTCTCTTAGGTCTGTTTCTTTTTATATATGTATGTGTCTATATATATATATACATATGTATAATTGGCTTTTTATCTTTTACCAGTAAGTTAAGTATACTTTACTATAGATGCCACCAGCAGAACACGGTTGAAGTATTTCACTATGAACCTGAGACCTCGTGTCTACGTTACTATTCAAACTTTTCATGTTTGTTTTTACTGACATGGTTACCGGGGAGGCGTTATATTAACATCATGTTTTTCTCCCCAGATTACAAAAGATGTGCAAGATTGCTAACACGATTAGCGATGAGTCCACTCTGCATGCAGTCCTAGATATTGCATGTAAGTTTTTTCCTGCTTTCCTGTTTTCGTCATCATCCTCTGAAAAGAAAAGAAACGAGGTTAAAGAAGACAGAAATATTAATTCAGAGGTCGTTGCTGCTTTTGGTCAGTTTAATTGAATGTGTGATACAGAGCTGGGTGGGGAGGGGGGGGAGGGATTTTTCACGTAAGCAGAAATGTTAAATTCAACATTTCTTTACTGAAGAAGACTGTATGCTTTGATGACATGCTAAAACATTAGCCTGTCAGAACAGGGTTTAAATTTAGGTCTGTAGTGGAGTGAGAGAGTCAGAAAGAACAGAGACGCAGATTTTATACACTCAGTTCTCTTTATGCCAAAAATGCACATTAGAGCATGTAATTCATGTTGTCAAGCACATGTGGAAAAATGGCACAC